GAATAAGTCATTCCAAACTCCATCCTACATTTCTGTATAGTAATCTAATACCATCTTTCACAATCCTCCACAGACAATTCTTATGCCAGCACAAGTGAGATGCAGTAACTTGCCACTAGACAGCACCAAAGTTCTGACCAGGCCTGCATGCTCAGGAATACAGCATGGTAACAAACTATAGCTGGCATTGAGAAAGCATTAAGGCATAAGGCTTGTTTTTATTTTTTAGCATTTGAAGAGTTCCTCTCCAAACCAGTTTTTTTCATGAGCTCAAAAGGTTGAATTTGGGAAGAAAGAAAATCTTTATAAATAAATAAAAACAGTCTAGTATGTCAAAAGTTTTTGGTTTTTTTTACCAGCTAAGAAATTCATGTATTTTCTGCTCAAATAACATGAAAACAAAGTTGTTTCACAAGCTTAGACTTGATATGATCATATGGACTGGAAAAAACTGCAAGATTCCCATTAGCATTAATAGGCTTTGAACAAATTTGACACAGAGGGGGAGCCATTTGCCAGTAACAGCGGTACACTGCCTCTTGGCTTATTGGGTTCTCAATGTGAATTTCACAATTTTTTGGACTGTGTGGTTCAGAATTCAGTGCACTGTGCAACACAGAAAACATGAGGTTGAAAACCAAAAGTACTGGAATCAAATAGAAAGACTGCCAGATTTGAAGACCTGCCTGCAACTGCCATGTGGAAGTAGAAGGGGCACTAATTATCCTTGTAATTTTAAATTCTGTGCAACGTGTATAAATCTGACAGCCCTTATGCAGGTACATGAAATTTTACTTATGAAAGCACCTTTGTAGATTAGTCCTCTGTGCATGTATTGACTGGGTTAGGTTCTATAAGTGCACAAACCATGATGTGATTAAATAGTAAGTAAATGCACTGCATCTCTCTTCTCCTGTATTTCCTTTGTATTACTTAAAAACCACCCCCACCCCCACCACAACAGTCCTATTCACTGCAAAAAGCAAAGAGGTGCTGAAACATGACTATGAAATAAACATGATGTTAAGAGACTGCCAAGAAATGTAAAATTATCAGCGGAATTCTGGCTCTACAACAATCAAGTTTCCTGCTAGTTTTGGAACCGGGACTTCAGCCCTGATTCCTGTAAAAACCTTAGATAAGCCACACTGCACACATAGGTGGCAGAAGGGGGGGCGCTAACAGGGCTTAGCCCCACAAACGCAGGGCAGTGATTGGACTGCAAGGCAGCAGGCCGTGGGCTTCCAGCACCTGCAGCAAGGGTGGGGAGGGGGAGGGAGTGGGAGTGGGGCTGGGGCAGGCACTGCACAGCCAGGGCAGGGCAGGGGACAGAGTCACAAGCAGCTTGTCTGGGGGGCACAGCTCCTGCTGCTGTGTGCACCCTGGGAGGCATGGGGGTCATGCCCCCCCAGATCTGTGCAAGGCAGGGCAGGCTGCCGCTGTGGGCTAGGGCCAGGCTGCACTTGGGGTGGACGGCGGTGGCACTGGGAAGGGGGCTATGGGTGGGGGGCCGCAGCCACCCCAAAATTCGCCATAGCCCCCCTGACCTGCTCTTCCAGCACCCCAAGCTCAGTGCGGCCCAACCCCCACCCTGCTGGGAAGAGCCTGGTGCAGCCCTGGCCCCAGCCCGCAGTGGCAGCTTACCATGCCCCACGTAGATTCGAAGGTACATGCCCCCCATGCTTCCCGGTGTGTGCGCAGTGGCAGGAGGCCCCCCTCCAACCCCGCACCCCATGCAGGGGGGGGGAGGCTGAGCATGCAGTCAGCACCCCCAAATATTTTTTTCTTCCTCTGCATGACTGCACAGTAACCATACAGAAACAGCAGCAAATACAGGGGGATATTATGATTACTAGATAAAATGCAGGTATTTCTATGCATCTCATGACTTAGGGTACCCCAATTTCTAGACTTTGCCCACTTCAAAAGACCTGCTTTTAATCCCACCTTCTGACAGTCCCTTTAGAGGCATTTCAAACTAAACTCACGTGGCCGCCAGTAGAACAAGTCTTTAAAAAAAATCCTGCGTTCAATGTTTAACACTGGCTAAATGGATTTAAAGGGCCTGGTAGGTAAATAGGAAAAACAAATTCAAAATTTGGTATGTTATTTTGGAATGTTTGTTAGTGTTTCCAGTATACAAACACCCATTTTAAAAAATGAGCCCTACCAGGAGCCGTATAAAACTTAGGATCCTGTAGTGGATAAAAGGTAAAAGGGAGTGGGGAATAGGTATTTTTAGAAGTCAACTCTAGTTTTACTCCTGGATACAGGGTGGTGATGTTCAACCATGAAGGTTCCAGAGAAAGCATTCTTGACATCACCCTCAATTGTGGTGGTGTAAGGGAAGAAAAAGAATCTCTGCTTTTCAGGAGATTGTGTTGGACCATCAGGCAATCTTCTTATTTCGTATGGCTGCCTTGGAGCAACAATTATAAATCCAGTTTATGGTTAGGTAACCAATCTAATGCTCTTGAGGAAAGGGAATGTATCTTTACAAAGTCACCGTCAAATCTGTATAGACAGTGTTGTTATGTGGTCCATAGTTTGATCAAGGTTGCCACAGTGCATCCATCATGTAAGAAACTGAGAAAAGCTCCACTGTTGGTTTAAAAATATACAATTCAGATGGGTAGCAGGGCTGTGTTAAACTCTTTGTCCATTCAGAAAGATCAGAACTTGGCCTATCATTTGTAAGGTACTGCATCTCTCTTCTTCTACATTTCCCTCGTATTATCATAACCCCCTCCCCCCCACCCAACAGCCCTATTCACTGCAAAAAGCAGAGAGATGCTGAAACATGACTATGAAATAAACAGGGCTTCTTATCTGAAATTAACGCTTGTTATTAAGTCAGTAGTCAAGGTGATGCATTTTTTGGTTTTATCTAAAGATTTTAATCATCCTATGTGAATAAAAAAGTTTCCAAATATTATCCAGACATATTTCCATTTGAAAAAAAACACTACAGCAAGAGAGATAAATATGTACTTTTAGAGGTCTTCTATTAAAAATTGCTCTGTTTAGTGGAGAAATAAAGAAATTTATTAGAGACGAGTAAGTTTGCACACTGTTACAAACTTACACAAATTAACTGAAGGTAAGGCTTTTGTCCATTCAGTAATGACAAAAGCAGGAAAAAACCAACCAATTAAATTGAAAACTAAGGTTTCACCCTCATATTTCAGCAACACTGCCATTTTGGCAATGTTGATATTTTGATCATACTTTGTGTGTATTTTAAAAAATGGTCTAGTTGGGGAATTTGGAATGAGAACAGTGACAATAGCTCTTGCTCCTAAAGCCATATAAAAGAAGAAGAATAAAATAAATGCTACTGCAGTTTGCCAGCCTGTAGCTAATTCCAAGGGGAATGGGAGTGAACAACAAGTCTGAACAAAGCCATAATTACAAGGATATCATTTCCCACAACTCCATTTAGCAAACACAAAAAACATTAAGAATATATTTCTTTCTATTTCTTCAGCAAGCATGCTCCATGTTTTAAAAAGCAAAGAAGTTGAGAGCTATCAGACAGTTTCTGAATGTCGTTAAAATACAGATTTTGATTCTGTAAGTCAGTCAATATCACAAGAGAGAAATCAGAGAAGTTTAGAAATAAAAGGAAAAAGTGATGATTTAAAACTTCATTCTGAGATCTAGATTTTGTCTCTAATACAGCTGTGTAAATCTGGAGTAACTCCATTTGTCCCCATGACTACATATTGTGTGTAGCACAGCACATATCAGTAATAAACTCTGTTTGTGACATCTCTTCAGCATATTTTGTACTGTAGTACAAGTAATCTGACTTCACTTAATGGGACACCTGATTCAATATTTTTTTTTGGATACATAACTGGTTCCTTCATTTTGAGTTTCATGGAAATACTTAGCTCCTCAGTTCATCCTTAATATATACACCATTTATACAGATTTCTGTTATCTGGGATGGTAACTTTCTTAAATCTCATAAGATAAGCAAAG